CGCAGCTCCACGCGCCGAGCCCGCCGGGATCTGACAGCGCCAATCACAGGCACGGAGACATTTCCCGATCTCTGCAGCAGCGGACCGGGATAATGTCTCAGCGCTTGTGATTGGCACTGCGGCGCTGTCAGCGTCCTGGCGGGCTTGGCGTGTGGAGCGGCAAACACGCCCGAGCCCATCGCTTGTCACCGGGACAGAAAGTGAGGGTAAATCTCTCTAACAGAGCCCAGAGAGCAGGGAAACCTCAGGGGGGGCTGTTATCATTCCGCTCTCCATCCAAAACTAAACACAGGATCTCGTTACAGAAACATTTTATATTTGTATTCTCCTGAGCCGCCATTGCTCCCCTCCTCCGGGAAATGCCGCTTGCCTGGCTGCTTTGCTGTAGGAAAGTCTACAGGTCGGGTAGGTCAGAGGAGAGTCTGTGGACTTATCCTGCGTCAGTGACTCCAGGTATTGAAGCAATAGGATCAGCATGACAGACAGGCAACTAGCGCATCCATAAGGAGAAGCCGGCAATGTCACCATTACTACACGCGTGTCACTTCTCAGAGTGCACACAGGAAGTTCCCCCCGACTGCTACCGCAGAGAGCCAATCATGTGACTGCTACCGCAGAGAGCCAATCACGTGACTGCTACCCCAGAGAGCCAATCATGTGACTGCTAACACAGAGAGCCAATCACGTGACTGCTAACACAGAGAGCCAATCACGTGACTGCTACCACAGAGAGCCAATCATGTGACTGCTACCGCAGAGAGCCAATCATGTGACTGCTAACACAGAGAGCCAATCATGTGACTGCTACCGCAGAGAGCCAATCACGTGACTGCTACCACAGAGAGCCAATCACGTGACTGCTAACACAGAGAGCCAATCACGTGACTGCTACCGCAGAGAGCCAATCATGTGACTGCTACCACAGAGAGCCAATCATGTGACTGCTACCACAGAGAGCCAATCATGTGACTGCTACCACAGAGAGCCAATCATGTGACTGCTACCGCAGAGAGCCAATCATGTGACTGCTACCGCAGAGAGCCAATCACGTGACTGCTACCCCAGAGAGCCAATCATGTGACTGCTAACACAGAGAGCCAATCATGTGACTGCTAACGCAGAGAGCCAATCATGTGACTGCTAACGCAGAGAGCCAATCATGTGACTGCAACTTCATATATACATGGTCAGGACATTCAGCTATTGTCACACCGTTCATCAATGGGGAAGATGGGGACAGGCGGAATAATTGTGTCCGTGTGATGTCATCATTGTGTCCGTGTGATGTCATCATTGTGTCCGTGTGATGTCATCATTGTGTCTGGGTTACAGTGACTGACACCCGCATACAATATAATGTCACTCTGATAATCACTGGGAAGTTCTATTATATCAGTGTGATGTCATTATCAGCCACCAATCAGTGTAATAGTTTATATCACTATAATGTTATATTGTATCGGTGAGATGTTATTATTCGGTGTCGGTGTTATATTGTATCGGTGTGATGTTATATTGTATCGGTGAGATGTTATTATTCGGTGTGGGTGT